ACTTACTTGACCAGAGATGTTCTGTCCTTTTGACAATTCATCCAGCAGCTACCCTGGAACTTTCTTTSATACCAACCTTTAGGCATGAAAACAGTCCATTTAACTTCATCCCGATGCTCTCTCCAGAAATTTACGACGACTAACAGGCAATTACTTCCATGCTTCTCCTTGCATACACTCCAGCATATACTGCCTAATTCTACCCTGACCCTACAGTCAAGCAAAACAAGAACTAAATGCACAATGCCAGCACTACCTGCTGCCTACATTAATACCTCCACTACAGGTGTCCATCTAACGCTGCAGACAGCAGACAGCAAGGATTGAACAGTGTTGATGAAACACAGTGCACTGTGTCGATTCTTCACTAAAGGTGCTGGAGCAACACAGCACTGTTAAGCATAGGGAGTTAACAATAACCATCCCTGGGAAGCCCCTAAAGCCTTTWCAAGAGTTGGACACCTCAGTGCAGACAGTAAAGGCTTCACAGCATTTCCAAAGCCTACATTTTCTCAACTCAAAGTAGAAGAAAACAAATTTTGCAGAGGGGGCAGACAATGTAGCATCCCCACATATTAATTTGTATCTGAGAGCTCTGACAGCAGGATTATAAGCAGCAAAGGTTGACAAACATGCAACTGGAGCTACMCACAGTCCTGAATGCAATGGATTTTTAATAGTTCATTGCACTAAACTTTAATTAAATTTATCTTAGTCAAAGTTCTGAAACATGCAGAAAATGCAAAAAAACCCTGCAAGACTGGAATTAGAAACACTACATACAAGTGAAGAAATAAAGACAACCTTAGCATACAGGAGACCACCACATCTCTGGACATCACTTTTTGTACACAGTACWATTCAGCTGCAAACAGTGAACACTGAAGCAAGTCTTCTGGGGAAGCATTGTCATAAGCTTACCTTGCTTATGAGAACCGTCCCCAGGTACCTGCTGTGGTCATCAGGGAATGCTGGCCTCAATCCTCCTTCAGCCTAAGAAAATGCAGAGGTCTTGGTGCTCTTGTACTCTGCAGCAGAACTTGTGTGTCATTATCAAGAGARAGTTAAAGACAACAGCTACACAGGGGAAAAAAATGAATGCAGGAAGTCATCAGACACTATGCAGCRCTAATCAGGCCAGGCAGAGCACCATTCCAATGTATCATAACAGTTCTGGTATCCAAACTAATCCTCAACAAGCCAGTTCTGTTGTTTCTGCACAGCACTCTAATGTGCCAAGCAGCTATGCCAGGTATTTCTGCACTAATCTCATTCAACATCTACAATTAGACTGAACACTTAGTTGAAAATATTAAGCAGAACTGACTCATATTGTTAAAAATCCTTTAATTCTTTACTTACTTTGTTAAATTTAYATTAAGAAGCAAAGTAATTAAATCTGATTATTCGATACTATTCACAAGCTATTAGCTACATCTTCAGAGAAAGCATTCTATTAGGTGTGCAACCAAACAAAAGYAGTAGAGTCCTTAGCAAAAAGTTTAGAATAGCTTACTATTTGAAATAATATTCAAGCACTTCTAAGCTCTCTGGATGCTTAAATTACTCATGTATTTAAGATACTGACTTTACAGAAATAGAAGGTATTTGCTGAATAAAGAATGCACACCCTAAGAAGTTRTATGTAGTTTTAAACGACATGAGAGGATACCTAACAGTACCATGAAATAACATGCAGTTCTGAACGTAAGTCACAACAGTTTGAATAAACCGCGTAACATTAAAGGACACTCCTCTTCCTTGCATCTGAAACCAATCATTCTGTCATCTGTAGCCCTAAACTAAACACAGTCATATAGGAATTTATACTGTTGCTATATTAATCACTCTGCTGAAGSACTGGAATAAACAGGGCTTCAATCTCCTCACTCCTTACCTTACAAAGTTCAGTAAAAGCATTACCTAGGACCATCTAAGGCATCCAAAGTCACAGCTTTAGGGTGAAATCTAATCAAGCACCTATTCACACTWGTGTTTTATGAGAAAAATGTCCTTTACAAAGATTGTCAGACTGCTAATCAATGTGGTGAAAGTGTGAGTCTACTGGAAAAAAAAGGAATGCTGTATATAAAACAGATGAACACAGCCTTTATAACATACAGTAATCCTAAAMATCACCACACCTACCATCACAAAGACGCTGACTATGAGCAGTGTGAGAAACAATTACTTGCAGTGCTACAGACTCCCTTCAGCTCTGCACGAGAAAGGAGAGAGAGCACGGTACTGTTTCAGAGCACGCAGGCAATTCATCAGAAGTACTACTGCAGCCTGGGAGAGGGCTAACAGATTACCCTTCTTACTCTGTTACCACAAGACAATACAGTAACACTGTAAGCCACTGCGTATCAATTGGAAATTCCAGCATGCTGTAGAAAAACATTCTTTTATGAACAATATTCACAGCAGAGTAAGCTCTGCTATTCAGGTATAGGATAAGTATAAGAGCATCTGTTATCTAGTCCTTCTTCCTATGATCAGTGCCCACACCAGACTGGAGCTGAAGATCTTCAGGATCACATTTTGCAACAGTTTCCTATACCGTACATTATACAACAACACTGAAGATGCTCTGTCAACAGATGATGAGTTATCRAAGTGATACTTCAGGACGTGGCTGACAGTTACAGGGAACAGCAGGCAACTAAAGGAACATAAGGGACCCACAAGAAACTCCTGTAGGAATCTGTCCCCATCCCAGCCTTTTCAGTGCATTTTTATTTGAATTGCTAAATAACACAAAAGCCAGGCTTCAGAAAAAAGATAAGCTCACCAYTAAACAAGAATTACTGCCAGTGTAGTAATACTGCCAAAATTACTGCCATAGATACCTAAATCCACTACATCAGTGACAGTATTCATATTTCAATCACGCAAGCGCTCCATAAAAATTACTAACAGTAGACAGAAAATTTTTAGGAATACACACTTGTCCAAAATTCACCTTGGGTAACAGAACTCAAAGTTTAAGGTAGAAACTACCTCTCATATTTATGTCTATGGTTTCAAGATTCATGCTCTCCTTCAGCACTCGTTAGTTCCCTGCTACTTTAAGGAAAGCTCTGGAACAACAGGACCACACATGCTGTAGTTACTGGCATCCCACTCCAAAATCAGGTTTCACTTTTGTAATAGAAATCCTTGAGAGATGATCAGGAAACACAACTTTCACTTTCAAAGATATTTAGCAAAAACTTGTCATTAATGCATCACAAAAGAACTACCTGCATTATGGAACTGAATAGTGGAACAGTATCTCGGCTGAACTACTTTCTCCTGTGTGGATTCTCTATAAATTCATACTTGAAGAGTGGCATAGCCACTATTAAGGAAAGCCAAAAGAAAACAGAAAGACAAAAGATGAAAAATAAAGATATGTGAATGGCCTAGGTGGTATTGCCTAACTGCTACAGGACAGAACTTGCAATACCTGGAACTGATTCACAGGTTTGCCATTTGTCATAGACCTTCTGGGTGAATTCAGGCTGCTCCTTTCTTCACCTGCCTGGAGATCCGCCTCACTTACACTGACTTCACTTAAACAGCTAAACTAAAATGTAAACTCAGTGCTCYACCACATCTTCATGAAAATAAAACAAAAACTTTCCATTATTTTAAAAATACTATTGGAACTTTAGACATACAAACTTCTTAGTATAAGACTCAAAGCTCCCAGCACAAGACCCCTCTTAAAGATTCAAATTCTAGCTTCCTGTAAAAAATTTGAATTTTTAGTGTCAGTCTGGAATTAAAAAGCAGTAGTCACAAGTTTTGTCCTCCCCAGGAGAGCTTATGATTTGAAAAAACAGACCTTTAAAAAAATCTCTTTTAATACTTCTGAATAACTTTTAACATACTCAGCACCTGATAGTACTACACAAAAGAAAAAAGGAAGACACTGTCCTTAAGTTAAATCTCTCACTTTAAAATCCCCCGCTCTGAAAGGGTACCCTGTTATCTTTAGCTATTTCCCCTCCACAAATATGCAGCGCCTTTACTCCACAGGCATCCAAGGGTCTTGATGTTAGGTTATTTCAAGAACTATTTTTGAAGTGACATCAGKAATCTGCTACAGTCAGTCAATGCAGCTAGCACTTTCTCCAAGAAGAAATTAACCTTCATTTTAGACAGTAACATTTCCCCTTGATTGAATGAAATTTGACAGATGAAATACAGCAATCTCATAGAGCATCCCAGATGTGCTTAGTTCAATTTCAGTCCCTTCTTCATGCCAATCAGCTCAAACTGAATACTGGCCCTTACTAACTACCCATTTAGATGAGAAAGGTAKGGCTTACAGGATAGGGTGAGCTTCATAAAAGTGTTCTCTTCAAAAAGACAAGATTTATGTACAGGTATTGGCTGCTTCAACCTATATTTGAGTTAAAACACACTTAAGAGAAATGGTCTAACACCACATTGACTTTCAATGCCTCTTTCTGACAGAACTCGGCACCTCCCTTCCAAACGATGTTCCTAACACCCCTCAAGCTAACCAGCTTGCTGCAGCCTAAGCAGAGGCATTTAAAAATTACCACAAGGGTTTTGAGTTCTTCTGAACGGAATCCTTCCAATTCCTCCTTACAATCTGAATTGAAACCTGGTAGCTCTGACAACCATCGTCCACCCATCCTTGCTTTAATTACTGTAGGTGACCTCTGATAAYGGCCACACAACTTCAACTCTCAACCTACTACAAGCTAAGGCCTAATCCCCTGTATCTAAGGGTTCCCTGGCCCTGCATGAATCGCTGCTTCAGCCAGGAGCCACCCAACCGGCACAGACCAAGGTGATTTACAGAAGGGCACGGGTTTGTGCCCCGCCATCCCCTACCATCGACCTCCCTGCTGCGGCCGGCTCCAGAGGAGGTAGTGTGAACCCAGCCCACCACCCTCCTGCCCGGAGAGGCCACAGAAGAGCCGGCCGAGGCTCCCCTYCGCTCTGGGGCTGCGGCAGCCCCCGGGGCCCCGGCAGCTCACCCCTGCACGCCCGGGCTGTATTTCCTTGTCTTCCAGGGGGTGCCGGGGCTCTGAAGCGCTGGCTGAGGTGGCTGTCGCTGCTGGTGGGGGGAGTTGTTGACGCCGCGGCTGCCGGAGAGCAGGTAATTCATGCCATAGGTGCTGGCTTTATTCTCCCGTTTCCTGCGGCCCGGGTGGTACTGGTGCTGCTGGGGAGACGCCGGCGGCGGGTGCGGACTGCGCGCCAGGTGCGGCGGCTGGTGGTGCCCATTCACAGCGTTCACTTTGTTCTCGTGGAAGTTAAAAAACTCCCCGGGTCCGACCCCGCTGCCCAGCAGCCCGGGAGGAGCCACCGCCACCGCCCGGGGGCCGCCGGAGGAAGAGGAGGAGCCGCCGCCACCGCCGCCGCTGCACGATCCCGAGGAAGAAAAGCCGGGGCTCTCGGTGCCGGACTCCACCGACGAGCAGGAGGACGAGGAAGACACGGAAGGCGACTTCTGCAGCCGCCGCCCTCCCTCGCCGCCTCCGCCGTTCACCGCCGCGGGGCCGGCGGAGACAGCGGGCACCAGTCCGGTCAGCAGGGCCGGCGGGGAAGGCGAAGGCGAAGGCGGCGAGGAGGAGCAGCAGGCGCCGGGCGCCCCGAGCCGCACGCAGCCGTGCCCGCGGGGCGGAGAAGCGGCAGAGTCCAATGCCGGGGAGTTGAGGCAGAGGTAGTGCGGGAAGCTGGCGCCGCCCCGGCCCCCCACGCCCTGCGAGGTCTCCCAGATCTGCATCCACAGCGCATTCGCGGGTCCTTTCTGCTCGGGCTGGATCCAGGCCACGCGGGGATCCATCCACGCCCGCCCGCCGCCGCCGTCCCTCACTGCCCGGCCAGAGCGCCGCGCCGCCGCCCGCTCACCGCCCGCTCCCTTCGCTCGCTCGGCCCGGCAGCGGCGCTAGGAGCGGCCCGGCAGCAGCGGCATGTGTCGCGGGGAGGAGGGAGCGAGGGAGGGCGGCAGGGCGGCCGGAGGCAGAGCCGGGCGAGGAGAGGCGAGCGCGGCTCGGGAAGAAGCGGAGGCGGCGCAAACTGTGCCCGGCGCTGCCCGGAGCGCTCCGCTCGCCGTTCCAATGTGGCGTGTCCCCCTCGCCAGGGCCAGAACCGGCACTGCGCATGTCCCGCAGATTTTAAACCTTCACCGGAGACGGCCGCCCTGGCAACCGCACATGCGCGGGAAGCGGGAGGGAGAAGGGAGCTGGGAATGCTCCCCCGCCCGGCGGTCGCCTGCGCCTGCGCGGTGCGGAGAGGGGCGGGGCGGCCGCCGCCGTGAGGGGAGCGGTGTAGCTCCCGGAGTTGCAGAATGCGCCAGGTGGGAAGGGACCACGGTGCTCCAACCTCCCTGCTGAAGCAGAGTCATCCCGGAGCACATGGCACGCGATTATATCCAGACAGTTCTTGAATGTCTCCAGTGAGGGAAACTCGACAGCCTCTCTGGGCAGCCTGTTCCAGTGTGTGGTCACTCACACAGGAAAGAACTTTTTCCTCATGTTGAGGTAGAACTTCTGTGCATCAGCTGCTGCCCATTGCTTCTTGTCCTGTTGTTTGGCACGACTGAGAAGAGCCGGGCTCCATTCTCTTGACGCCTTTCCTTCAGATACTGACAGACATGGATGTGGTCCCCTCTCACTTGCCTTCCCTTCATCTCTGAGTGGCTTGCACCACCACAGCCCTGCGGTGTTTTCTCACACAGACTGCATTGTCTGACCCCTCCATACCACAGCTCATCCCTTTGGAGAATTATAGCCCAGTTCCCAAAAATAAAAGGGTGGGTTTTGAGGACTAATTCAGAAGAGAAGCGCAGGCAGACGTGTTTTGGGGGGGCTGAGCAGCAGAGAGTGTGGGGCTGAGCAGGGCTGCTCACTCCCTGGGGGAAAGGAAAGGCCTGGGTGCATCCAGGCAGTTCCATGACCAAGGGAAKCCTCTCCTTGGATTGTTAGTGCCAAGACAGCCCCACAAAGCACCACATTTTCACTGGGTTCTTCAGCTTTTATTGGGCTTGAATCTCAGGGGGACAGTGCATGTTTCAGGGGGTGTTTCTAATGGATGGGTTTTATGTGCAGTGATCACTGAGTCAAATGCGTACTGCTATTGGAACAATACCAGACTTAGATACACCATGATCTGAAAATGGGCTTTAACAGCCAGCCTCCCTTAATGATGTCCATAACAGTTCTCTTTGTAATCCAGTGATTTGGCCTATTCCTGGGCAGCCTTAGCATGCATATGGGTAAAGTGTCCCCTCCCAGGGTCCTCCCAGAAACTCTAGCAGTGCAGGACTCCCYACACCATTCAATAGAGCCCTTAACCTGACTGCTGACAGCACAGAGAAGGGTTGTTCATGCATAAAGGCAAATACTRTCAGGGAACCCTGCTTAGAACAGCCCTCCAAAGCAGTTGTGGGGTATATCTTGAATGATCTAGCTGCTGCAGAAGGTGAGAAAAGGAGAGGTCCCACTCTCCATAATCCTGCTAATTCCTTTCGCTGCTCCTTTGCACAATCCCCGATATTGATCAGTGAGCCAATTTAACTTGTTAATTCAGAGAAGACTGCACTTGGAAGAAAACTAATAGTTTCAGCAGTTCATTTTGAATTAGCTTACTTTGTGATCAGAGSTGGCACTAAGGAGGCGGTGGAGAGAAGATGAGAGAAAGAGACTGTCATTTGTTAGCAGAGGGCAGTTGTGTTTGACACAGTTATATTCTCTAACTATACCCTTAGACTTCAGAACAAGGGAAACTGATATGAGRGCAATAGCCTAATGTTTATTATCAGAAGTCATTTAGTAAAAGCAGGTCATTCATTTTTTTTTGTTAAGGAATAGGCCCGTTTTCAGGACTAACAGCCAAAGTACACATGAAAGTGTACTTTCATTGCGTACATGAAAGTACRCAATAAACTAACCAAGCCCAAACCACATGAAAGAGCTGTTAATTATGTCTCATATAAAAGTATGTTCACCACAATTTCCATGTCATGAAACCAAAGCACCCTTCTAACATGCATGGTTGATGAAGTGTTCAGATCTTCAGCAGAGATTTGAGCTTGGGTTACTGATAGCAGTCCTTGGTTTTATGGTTCATCTTCCAAAGGATTTTGGATTGGTTTGGTTTGGTTTTAATTGAACTTAAAAGAAGACAAATAAACAGGACCCTCAAATCTGTTCTTTTCATATAAATGCCGTGAGAAATAAACCATTGAWTTACACTGCCTTTTTCTTCTTTTAGCTGTGAATACTTTGCATCCTTGCCTCTATGATGGCCTGGGTACAGCAAGGAGAAGGAAGKATCCACAGTATTTTGGCGAGCTTAGCTGGTGCGGTGTGCTAGTGTTTGGAAGAGTTACTTGGTAGATCGCTTGTGAAGTACCGAGAAGGCTGAGGCAGCTGTAGAGCCCAGATCTCAACCTTTTTAATWTCATGTTCTGACTTTTCATACATCCAGTGAAGATCACATCTTCAAGCTGCTGGGTTAAAAATCTTAAAATAAAGGAATACTGATCAGTGTTTTCATAGGATCATAGAATCACAGAGTGGTTTCTATTGGAAGAAACCTTAAAGATCACCTAGTTCCAWCCCTCCTGCTATATGCAGAGACACCTTCCACTAGACCAGTTTGCTCAAAGAGGTGGAGGGGGAAACCARAAAGACACAACAGCCAATCTTATGGAGACCTTTCCAAGCTCAGCAGTTTCATGACCTGTTTTCTTTATTTCCTTCCTTGCCCTGCTGCCATCTTTTAAAATTCAGCATTTTCAAGAGGGCCTGATTTCCCACTTTACTGAAATTATTTCCAACTTCATTTTGAGATAAAACTGGTAGAGACCACTGCCTTATGAGAGGCAGTAACTCAAAAGCAGCTTTTGAGGAATGAGGAGAGACTCTCACCAATTCAAACACTGTCTTGGAAAAGGCTAGGCTGTTTCCCGAAGTAGCTACAGAGAGAGTTGTGTCTCACTGGCTTAAGCTGTGTTTGACAGAATTTCTGAAGCTACATTAGTGTTTTATCTGTTCTTTGCTTGGGTTCAAGGCAGCAAATGCCATGTAAGAGTAAAAGAGAACATGGGAGGGATGGATGGGTAAGCACAAATGTGCTCAGAGGTCCACATTTTAAGAGCTTGGAGAAGGAAATCTCTGAGAAATCTATAAGCAATGGTTTGATAAAATGCCAATTAATTCATCTATCTCATGATATCAAAGCTTGTGGCACATCACTGTAATATCTATGCAGAAAAGAAGGCTTTACATGTTTCCTACATAAACGTGTACAATATGAAGAAATAATACCCAGTGGTCTGTTGTGGCATGAACTATCATGAAGAAGTAGAATTATCATCTTCTAACATCAGCTTTTATTCTCCTGTTTCCAGCCTCTCAAGTGAGAAATCTAAATAAAGTGCATTTCTAATCTTGTCTCCTTAAAGTGAGAATTTCCTTCTAAAAGTAGCAAGTGAGAACTTCCTTTGAGAGGATTATTTTTTTAGTCTGGTTGTTTTTAATTCAGCTGTCCTTTACTGAATGAAACTCCATACTGAAGGTAAGATTCTCAGAATGTTTGAAAGTCRATTACAATTTGAATCATCAGAAAAAAATTCTTTCTTTTCAATAAAGTTTCCTTTCCACTGTTGAATTTGTGAGGATGCAGGTAATGAAAAATCACCCCCTATACTTGACACTGGTGAGGCTGCACCTTGATTCCTRGGTCCAGTTCTGAGTCCCACAGTTCAGGGAGGACATTGAGGTGCTGGAGTGAGTCCAGAAAAGGGCAGCAAAACTGATGGAGGGTCTGGAGCACAAATTCCATGAGGAAAGGCTGAGGGAGCTGGGGGGTGTTTAGCCTGGAGAAGAGGAGGCTCAGGGGTGACCTTATYACTCTCTACAAGTACCTGAAAGGCAGTAGCCGGGTGGGGGTTGATCTCTTCTCCCAGCCAACCAGCAACAGGATGAGAGGAAACAGCCTCAAGCTGCACCAGARGAAATTTAGGTTGGACATTARTGTGGTGAACCTTGCTAAAAGCTGGCTACGCGATRCATTGCTAAAAGCTGCTRACAGCCRTCGGCTGCGAGCAGTACCTGGAGCCGAAAGTTACAAGARATCTTTTGTCCCGGAATTCCCGAGACAGCCACWCGTTAAGTTCACTTAATGACTTGGTGGAGCTAGCTTGTGAGGCTAACGGCAAGGTATCGTTTCTAAAGTAGCCTATAAGGAGCTCAGTTTTTGTAATATGTATGAGGTTGATTACCGTTAGCGAACATGGGCATAAAAGCCGTGGTTGCTGAGGGAATAAACGAGTTATGCTGATCATCTCTCTGGGTGGTCGTGTGCATTTCTCCCGCTGCTCGACAAATGGTCCGCTCCGACACATTAGGAGGAATTTCTTCACAGAAATGGTGATCAGACATTAGAATGGGCTGCTCAGGGAGGTAGTGGAGTCGCCATCCCTACAGGTGTTTAAAGAATGACTGGACATGGCATGTGGATTTTTGACCCATATGACCTTGATTCTGAGGACCCACAATCACTGCAAGCCTCTGATGGATCAGCTCCCTCATGCTCACCAGCTCTGATCTCCTTTGTAGCCTTTGTGGCCCATAGCTATTCACTTACAAGCTGGACTCAATGATCCCAGTGGGTCCCTTCCAA